GTCTGTTTGTCTTTCTCTGTTTCTGTCTCTGTCTGTCTGTCTGTCTTCTGTCTATCTTTCTCGCTCCTATTTGTCTTTCTCTCTCTGTCTTTCTCTCTCTGTTTCTGTCTCTGTCTCTGTCTGTCTATCTTTCTCGCTCTGTCTCTCTGCCTCTGCTTGTTTGTCTTTCTCTCTCTGTTTCTGTCTGTCTGTCTCTCTCTCTCTCTCTCTCTCTCTCTCTCTCTCTCTCTCTCTCTCTCTCTCTCTTCTCTCTCTCTCCTCTCTCTCTCTTTCCCTCTCCCTCTCCCTCTCCCTCTCCCTCCCTCCCTCCCTCCCTCCCTCCCTCCCTCCCTCTCACTCCCTCTCCCACCTTCTCCCTCCCTCCCTCCCTTCCTTCCCTCCTTCCTTCCCTCCCTCTTTTCACCCCCCCTTTTCTCCCCTCCCTCCCCCCCCTATCCCCCTACGTAACGTCTATATCCGAAATTTGTTGTTGACGCGAGTAACTTCTGTAATGGAATAAGAAACCCACATCTTTAATGTGTTTGTACTGGGAGGGTCATTTTGGCTTTCGCCTCTGAAAAAGTTCTATTCATACTAAGTGCTCTTTCGCTCTCTCGCTCTCTCGCTAGCTCCCTCGTTCGCTCTTTAGGTGTGTTTGTCTGTTTGTTTGTCCGTTCGTTCGCTTGTCTTTCTCTTTTCCTGACTTGTTCTAGCGTCTCCGATATTTTTTTTTTTCTCTCTCTCTCTCTTCTTCTATTTGGGTCTGTCTGTCTTTCTCTTTATCTTTCCCATTATCTTTATCTTTATCTCTATCTCTATCTCTCTCCCTCTCTCCCTCCCCCTCCCCCTCCCCCTCCCCCTCCCCCTCCCCTCCCCTTCTCTCTCCCTCTCCTCTCCTCTTTTCCTCTCCTCACTTCTTTCCTATCCACCCTCCCACCTACCCTCCCTCATCCGCTCCCCCCTCCCCTACCTTTCACTCTCCCTCCCTCCCTCCCTCCCTCCCTCCAACATCCCCCCACTCCCCTCCCCCCCTACTCTCAGTCTCAGGTCGTTAATAGCTGTTTTGGAGTACGACATCTGAAACTCTGGAGTGATTCGGGAAAGATTGTGTGTTTTGAGTCATCAGCACTCCGAGTCATCATCTCTCTCTCTCTCTCTCTCTCTCTCTCTCTCTCTTTCTTCTGATTTCCTTTCTTTTCCTTCTTCTACCCCCTCTTTCTCTTCTCTGTTACTATCTAGCTCCTCCTCCTCTTCCTCCACTCCCCTCCTTTCCTCCTTTCCTCCTCCTCCCTTCCTTCTTCCCTCTTCCTCCCCTTCTCCTTCCCTCTTCTTCCTCCTCCTCCTCCTCCTCCTCCTTTCCTTCTCCTCCTCCTCCTCCTTTCCTTCCCTTTCTTTTCTCCTCCTCCTCCTCCTCTTCCTTTCCTCCTCCTTTCCTCCTCCTCCTATTCCTCCTCCTCCTCCTCTTCCTCCTCCTCCTATCCTCCTCCTTCTTTCCTCCTCCTCCTCCTCCTCCTTCCTCCCCTCCTCCTCCTCCTCCTCCTTTCCTCCTCCTCCTCCTCCTCCATCTTCTCTTCCTTCATCTCCTCCTCCTATCCTCCTCTTCCTTCCTCCTCCTCCTTTCCTCCTCCTCATTCCTCCTCCTCCTCCTCCTCCTCCTCCTCCTCCTCCTCCTCCTTCCTTTTCCTCCCGTCCTCCTCCTCCTCCTTTCCTCCCCTCCTCCTCCTCCTCCTCCTCCTCCTCCTCCTCCTCCTCCTCCAGTTTTCCTCCTTTCCTCCTCCTCCTCCTCCTCCTCCTATTCCTCCTCCTTCTTTCCTCCTCCTCCCCTTCCTCCTCCTCCTCCTCCTTTCCTCCTCCTCCTATTCCTCCTCCTCCTCCTCCTTTTCCTCCTCCTCCTCCTCCTCCTCCACTTCATTCCAAAGAAACAAAAAAGCTAATGGTGTTATCGGTGTCGAATGCCAGAAACAAAAGGGGAAGAGGAGGAAAAAAAAGGACTTAAAAAAGGGGGGGGAAGAAAAAAAAGAAAAAAGAAAAAGTAAAAAAAGTTTTGTGTTTGTGTGATTCTTCTTTTTGTGGTGTGTGCGCGTGTGTGTGTGTGTGTGTGTGTGTGTGTGTGTGTGTGTGTGTGTGTGTGTGTGTGTTTGTGTGCGTGTTTGTACGTGCATGTGTCTATGTGTGTGTATCTGTATCTGTGTGTTTGCATCTGCATGTGCGTATATATACATCTGTCTATGTATGTATGTATGTGCGTGCGTATGTGCGTGCAAAGCCGCCGCCGCCGTCTGAGGGAGAAAAATATTGACTTAAACGGAGCTCTACGTGTTGACGGTCGTGTTGTGTGTTCAGCCCTCACTGGAGGAGATTTGGGGCGCGATTGGGGCATGGGGGGTAGGGTTGGGGGTTGGGGTGGACACAGGGGACGGGGTTGTAGGTTTATTGGTCAGTGTCTGTTTGTTTGTTTGTCTATGTCTGTCTCTGTTTCTGTCTGTCAGTTTGTCTCTCTCTCTCTCTCTCTCTCTCTCTC